AAACCTTTAAAGATTAGAACTTTAACATTATTTGGGAACTTAAAATTACAAGATCACAACAAGTTTTCACACTTTATTGCAATTTATTTGCAAAATTTGTGAAAAACAAGTTTATGTGAAAAATTGGTATATCAAATTAAGCACTAATAAAAACTCCATTATTATGCTTAAGGATATTTTAAAACCAGGAGATTAGTGATGCAAATGTGCATTTAATCTAACCTTGTAATGCTTGTATTAATCAAGGCTTAAAAAGAATTAAAAATTTCGTTAAAAAACGAAAAACCCCAGAAAATTGGGTTTCTGTTTTGAATTTGGCATCTGGACAGCTCTAAAAGGGTTGAATCTGTTCCATAATGTCGATTCCACTCAAAAATCACTATTTTTGAGCCAAAATCTGGGTTCGACAGCCAAATCAAAAATAAAATCGAGTTTTAAAATTAATTAAAACGAGCATCTAATCTAATTAGAACAACATGAACCAGAAAAATAAATTCTTTTAATACACCTTAATTAAAAAATAATTGCAAAAATTAAAAGGAGCGTGGCTCTGATACCGCTGTAGGGTTTTGTAGTGACCCGACCCTACGCGGAAGGAAACCCACCAAGACCCGCCCCTTAATTAAAACAATTAACAAGCATATTAAACTTAATCAAACAAGATTAAGAACAAGAATCATACCTTTGACGCATGCTTCACTCCCAAAGAGCTCTTACTTCAAAATCCCGAAAACACGAGATCTCCGACGGATCGTACCCTCGACCCGACCCGAGCGTCCTAAGTCTTGAAGGTTAGTCAAGACCCGGACAAAATAACTATCATTTTTACGAATCAAAGGTTTACTCTTACTTAGAGTTGCCTTTTTAATTCCACTCAAGGTTGTATTCTCAAAATCTCAACCAAATGGGTATTTATAGAGAATGGGGACTTGAACCCCTTTTCATGATCAATGTGGGATCATGTGCAATTACAATAATTTATTTAATTCCAAAATAAATAATTAAGCAAAAGCAATCACAAGGCAACAAGTGGCAAGAGGGAGAATGGGTTAGGTGAGGACCATATCCCATGAGGGGACCATTGCCTTGCTCCCCAAGGGAAGCCTAGAGGCTTTGATCCCCACCTCTCCTAAACCGCCACTCACAAGGTAGTTGGGCTGCCTGCCAACTGGTACTGCCAGCACCCCCAGCCAGCTAGCACCAGGCTGCCTAGCAGCTCCCTCGCATGCACAGCACGCCCAGCGCTGCTGCTCGCTAGCTAGCCAAGCGATGCTGCCTGCTAGCTACTGCTGGCTGCTGGCATGCATCACCATCGCACACACGCTAACACAGCTAGCACTCCCTCGCATCCTTCGCATTCCCATGCCCTCGCACTCCATGCCAGCCAGCCCTTCACGCACGCAAGGCCTAGCATGCGTGCTGCTAGCGAGCCACGCATGCTGGGCGATGCTGGGCGACCATGCACACGCACACGCACACACACATGTGCCTAGCACTGCGATGGTGTTGTGCGTGGTGCCAGGCTTGCGATGGTGCCTGGCCTGCGTGCTGCGATGCCTTCCACGCACATGCTCACACACACAAGGCCCAGCATGGTGATGTGCTTGTACGAGGGGCATGCGATGGTGCCTAGCACCCTAGCACGCACGCTGCGATGCAGTGCCATGCGAAGGCACGCATGTGCGCAAGCATGCTGGTTGCGATGGTGTGCTATGGTGCGCATAGCACTTGCGATGGGCTGAGATGATGTGCTATGGTGCGCATAGCACTTGCGATGGGCTGCGATGGTGTGCTATGGTGCGCATAGCACTTGCGATGGGCTGAG